CCCGCGGCCGGGCCTCCTCCCGCAGCCGCTCCTCGTCGCGCAGCCGGGCCTCGCCCCGTAGGCGGCGCAGCTTGTTGCGGTAGACATCCCGGGTGGTGTCGGTGATGGGCCCCGGCTGGAAGCCCAGGGCCTGCAGCTCTCGCCGAAGCTCCAGGTCCGACAGGCCGGCCATGGCCAGGACGCCGCCCCCCGCCCGCCCCTGGCGCGCTCCGAACCCGGAACTGCTCCCTCCGGCAGCCGCGACGGAGCGGGCGGGGCCCTGCGCCATGACGGGAAGGTCGGCCGGGACGCCATGTTGGGAAGGTCGGCCATGACGAGGAGGTCTGACTCCACTTTCCGGGCCGCCATGTTGAGGAGGTCCGAGGGGATTTTATTTTTTGTTTTCTCTTTTCCCTCTTGGCCGGCCCTCCACCTTCCCTTCGTTTGTCAGTCCAAGTGGTTCCTATCTCTGAATCCTCCGCCCCTAGCGCGGTACCTGGCTAGGGTCCCCCACGTGGTAAGCATTCGACAAAGTGTTTAATGGGTGAATTAACGGTGAAAGAGAAGCCACTGTCACGCGTGGGGCGCGATCATTCGCCTCTGTGCTTAGGGACCGATGTGAGATCGGGTTTCATTTGGATCGTGGGGTAGACGCTAGACCCAGCCCCTGACTTCAGGCTGGTTCAGGCAACACTGAGGACCGAGTGGGCACGGGCTCTGCCCTAGGACAGACACGGGTCCCCAGGGGGCTCCAGCCTGGTGGGGGCTCCCGGAGGCTCTGCTACCGGGGTGAGGCGGAGAAGCCAATGTCCTCGGGCTCCTGTGCGCAGTTGGGGCTTCTGGGAGGAGGCCTTGTGGCTGTAGAGTGGGGTTTTCCTAAGGAGAGAAGAGACGCAGTCTTGTTGCCTCTTGTGGTGTAGGATGTGGGCTTTGGAGCCAGACAGTTCGATTTCGAATCCCACTCCACAGCTGTTAGATGTGTGATCACATTCAATTAACATTTCTAGCCTGTTTGTCAGTAAACCTCAACAGGATTGCTGTGAGGGCTAGAAGAGGTAGTTTGGGTAAGGTGCTTAGGACAGAACCTGGCACAGCCCAAGCATGTTTTGAGTTCATCCACATCTGTACAGCCTCAGTGCTGTGTAGAGCCCCCCACAGGGCAGGGGATTTGGTTACATGAAGGCTCTTACAGGAAATCCCTAGGGAAGCAAAGGGAGTTGTGGCAAATGGAAATAGAGCCATAGTTCATAGTCATTCTTCCAGCTCCCTCTCCCTCTTGGTATTCTTTCCACATCCCTCATCAACTCCCTTTCCCAAACATTTATTGCCAGCCTAGTAGGTTTCAGTCTGTTTCTACCCCTGCCATTCAGTTCTTCCCTATCCCCCTGTCCCCTCCTCCCTGGGATATCCCTGTAGCTTTACCCAACAGCCCCCTCGTCTCCTCCCATCTTGCCCCTCCCCTTCCTGGCAACCTGGGCCATTCTCCTGTGTCCTGGTTTTGCATTCCTGTTACTTGCTCTACCTCAAGAGTATTCAACACTGGCCACAATTGCTGGGAAAATTACAGTTCGGCTTGGTCAGGCCTCCAGTGTTCGCCTCCCCACAACCCCCCTGACTTAGCGTCTCCCATGTGGTGTGATTTCGCTCACCAAGTGTTGTTTTCCTTTTCTCTGCCTGTGTTTGCACGGAATGCCATGAATTTGATATAGTGATTGCCTAACACATATACCACATAATAGTATTTTATTTCTTTCTGAAGCACTGTTTGCATGACAAATGAGTTGGTAACATTTGTGCAACTCCTTGCAGCTGTGCGGTTCAATATATAAAGAATGAACCTTTCGGCATCAATACTAGCCCTGTATATTCTAAGAGGGCTTGAAACTAATGCTTAAACAAAGTTAACGTTACAGCATTTCACAGAGTTATGGTCTGTTTTATCACAATGGATCTCAGGATGATTGAAAAATATGGACTGCACTGGAGCCACCCCCAGAGGTGGTACAAAGTATGGGCTTTGTCAGCTTCCTGTGTTTGGGGACGCTGCCACCACCATCACACACACCTAGGGCAGATGGCCCATAGCCCCTTCCTCGGAACCCTGCTGTCTTTCCTCTAGCATAGACCTATCGTGCTTGCAGTTGTAGCCTTTTGCCACACACATTAACCCTTCTTCTCCCACGGTGGCTTCTGGCTGTCATGGGCCTTGATTTGCAGAGTCTTACAGGCCTTTGGCGTGTGCGTCAATAGGCCCCTGGCAGCGTATTTGCTGATCAGTGTGCCCCCTCCCCACCCCTCTTAGAAGGCACCTCACAAGTCAGTCAGTCGTTTCTCCTGGGGCTCATGCCTGTTCGTTTTCCTCCTGAACTCGACCTCCAGTCCCACCCTTCCTAGGCTCATATCCCCTTGTCAGCTCTGCATCAATATTCTCCACCCCGCAAGGCCCTTTGACACAGTTTAGTAACATTGGTTTTTTCTTTTTACTGTCCTCCACATGACCATCCACACATTCCCCACCAAGGGTTCAACCCCATTGCTTCTCTGCCACCTCTGTCCTTTCAGGAGCTGCTCATGAGGCCTGCGGGGCTTCCTAGGGCCGGCCTTACCTGCCTTCAGCGCGGCTCTCCTGCTGGGCCTGTCCAAGGTGGGGACACATATTTGAAAGAAAAGGGCGATATTGCCAAGTACAAGGCTGCCCCGTGTGCCACCCTCTCACCACTCTGCTGTGGGTTTTTTTAAGGTGAGCCGCTCAGGCTGTGGTCGGTCTTCCTGAGGTATTAAAGGCAGAAGAGGAAAAACAAGCTCCAGTGTCTCCATCTACTTAGTAACCACATCCACGCATTTAGCAGCGGTGAAGGGCTGCTCGGAGCACGCTCTGGATTCCCGGAGGGCTGCACTCTCCCTTCCGTCCTGCTGACCTCTCTCTGTCTCAGCAAAGCCTTATAATAATAACGGCCATAAATCTTTTAGTGGGCTTCATCCTCCTTCTCCTCCTGCAAAAAGCCCTGCACACATTTATCAGGTCCTCAGGACGCTCAGGGACCACAGACTTGTCCTTGATCCACCTCCTCGAGGACCCATGCACCCCTTCAGCTATTCGGGGGGCTTCCTTCAAGCCATGCCATGGGTGGCATCACATTGGGGCAGGGTGCTAGGGGAGTGATGGGAAAGTGGATGCCATTTTGGTCTCAGATTTTGACTGGAATGACCCCAGGAGCACCCAGCTTCTGGTTGCCCCGTCTCAGTGCCTTGTGGAAGATGAGGTCATCCTTTTCATCTCTTTCTAGGCCTGGGGATATGTCAGCAAAGGGGCAGATACAGTCACAGAGAAATGCCAGAATGGTGTTTCATAAACTGTTGAAAATTAAATGAAATTCTCGCTCTTTTGACCACTCTCACACTTTGATATCCATGGGTAAGGGTTCCTTTAGAGGCATGGAATACATTACCTGATGTCAATAACAAATTGTGTATGAAGAAAAATGTAATGCTTTCAGAACATTTTCTTTTGGGCTTTGTCCATGATTAGATTATACTAAATTACAGCGTACAGATATCAGGCAATTACTCTTTGCTTTTAACTATTCAATTTCATGGCAAATCTATGTAGCTCAATAATTCTAAAATCACACTGATGTGGTTACAGAGAAAATACCTCATCATCTCCATCTTGTGAAGCTAGGTTCAAGTTGCCCTATAATTACTTGTGGTCCTATAAGTGGAAAGTACTTTTCAAATGAAGACGGGGTAATCTGTGCCTCTCAGCAATTGCCAGGTATCTGGAGAGATTCTTGCAGATCTTGCTGGATAAACCTCAGCCAGATGCGAAGAGGAACAGCATCCTTGCTGTGCTGGTTACTCTGGGAATTCTCTCTGTCTCTGATCCTGGCTGATTTCTGGTCCCACTCCTTCTGTAGCTTTAACCATGAGTCTGTCTCTTTTTTCTGCTGTTCTGTGAAAACACTGTGGTTATTTTTTCTCTGCTCAGTTCACAGAACCCTCCCTAGCCTCCCCCCAGTTTTAATTTCTTCCAAGGCTGTGCATGTCCTGTAAGCAATCGAGTCTGCTGTCCTGGAAACGGGAGGAGCTCGTTGGTGAAAAAGAATTATATGAGCTGATTGTGAGAAATCGAACAGTGGCAGGAGGAGGAAACCAGGAGAAGAAAGAGCCAACACATCTAAACAAGCGGCCAGCGCACTGTGCATACAGTTGTAGGTGGTAGCTGGGTCCAGTTGCGCCTCATTACCCAGAAGCACATCAGAGGCACTGGTGCAAGGGCTGAGGACACTGGACTACAGTGCTGAGCTTTGAACTGGGCTTTTCTGTAGAATGGACAGCTCTGCACCTTCCTTGGTGCTGTGCCGTTGCTGAACCAATTCCCGTTTAAAAAGTGCAGACCACCTGGGGAGAAATCACCTTAGGCCCCATTTCCCTCTGGGGTGTCTGTTTCACTGTTACTCTCCAAAGCCCAAGGACTCAGGGAAAATTCACCAGCAGGTGCTGGGACCCCTCTCCAGACATGGGCACTCTCTGCTAGTGATGGGGGAAGGTGGGCTCACTACAGGGGCGGATTCCAGCAGAGGGTGTGAGAAGGACACAAAATCTGTGTTTTCAACATGGCTGAGCACCCCCAGCTCTTGTTTTTCTGCTCCTTGGAGTGTGTGACAGATTTGAGGGTGCTCTGGCATGGTGGAACTTGGAAGGGCAGAGGAGTCTTGGATCCAGTTCTTCCCAATGCCATGCCTCATGGGTTTTTCTTTCCTACTTCCTCACCCCCATGTGCCCCATGGCAGCAGCTTCCTCTCCACTTATTACCAGACCTCCTGGCAGCCTTTCCCAGGAACCTGCAGCAGCTCTCGGACTGATCAGTGTGTGCGCTGGAAATGCGTGTGAACCTGCAGCATGTCGGGATCTGGGCCCCTAGAAGGTTTGGGCTTTCCTCAGAAGAATTCAGAACGCCCAAAAGAGGATCCTTTTAAAGGGCTGGAGTCTTCTTATTCTGGTAACTACTTTGGGTGGCTCAGCCCCCTGCAGTGACCAGGGAGATGGAAGTATGGAATGAATGGACACTGTGTCTGATTGCTGGTAACCGATAGATGGAGGGAACTGTGGTTCCTTCATGGCCCCAGTTTATAAATAAATGAACATTCATTAATGCAAAATTAAATTAGAGGGAAATTTCCCCTCCAGTTTTGTTTAGAAGGCAGAAATAAGTGGGTTGACTGTGTAATTTTGCTGCGGATGCCAGAGCTTGTAGTCACAAGGTGATAATAATAATAGTCATTTGCTCTTTGCTGGTGCCTCCGTCCCCAGATCTCAAGGTGGATATTACCACCTTGCTTTTGCAAAGGCTCATTGAGGTTAAAGGACTAGTTGGAAGGTTCTCAGCAAGGGGCGGAGCACAGGGCCTTATAATCTTCTGACACGATAGACTTCCAGTATGTCAGTCAATAAACTGAAAATGGCCTGGGGTTCCAGCCCTTGCTTGGCCACTGACTGAAGGCAAAAAACTCCATCTCTCCGGGGCTCAGTTTCCTCACCTGTACCCGCAGGATCAGTGAGTTCCTTGATCTGAGTTAACATTTGAACTTAGAGCTCACAAAAGGCACACGCTTTGCTAATGTATGTAGCATGGATGGCCAACTCCTTTGCAACTTGATTCTCTCCCCTCCCACCCTCTTTTCTCATGACCTGAGTTTGCCCTTTGGAGATTAAAATATTAAATAAGAGCCATTTCTGTATATTTCATGCTTTATTTGCTGGAGGGGGATTTGCTTTGGAAAGGTTGTTTTCCTTCCGAGCCCCGCTGGTGGGCCCCCCTTGGATGGAAGGCGGCTCCCAGAGCTGTCCACCTTCTCCCCCGAGCCGGGCATCACTTGGCTGCTGGGGAAGGCAGAGGTTTGCAGCTCAGTACTGTTAGCAGGTCTGCTTATGAAACTGCCCTCTAAAACCAGCCTGCAGGCCAGGGTAGGGGGCATGCAGGGCAGGCCAGGGAGGGGTGGGAGTTCTGCGGGCCCTGGAAGCCTGTAGCCTGGGGCAAGTCGTTTAACCTCCCACTTTCTCCCTCTCCAACAGCACTTCCCCCGTGTCTCTCTCCTCTCCTCCCGGGGACTCTGAGCAGTAATTAGTGGCTGTTTGTCACAGGAGATCTAGCTTTACACAAGTAACTCGGGCAGACCTTGAACGGGGCAAGACCAAATGGGGCTCAGGATTTCAATTTGCAGAACAAATGACAAAAAAAGAAAAGCCTACACCAGAATTTCCTTGGAGCAACTGCCCAGCCCAGCCTCGGTGGTGTTTTGGGAGGGAATGAAAATATCTGGAGCAGGGGAGGGTTGGGTGGGTAAGTGGTTGTTGATTTGTTGTGGCTCTCTGCCAATAGGCGACTGGGAAGTGGGCATGAGACACCCCCCCCTCGCCCTGCCCCCCCCGCTGAGAACTGGGACCCGTGACCAGCAGTGGGCATCAGAACCTGCTCTGCTCCGTGATTAGGCTTCCCCAGGAGGCTGGGGTGCGCCCGGGGAGAAGACAGCTCTACGGTTCTCAAGTGCAAAGCAGAAAACAAATCACCGTCCTCACACTCTGCTCAGACATGCTTCTGGAATATTAACACCAGGGTGGGTGGAGGTCAGGCCCGGCGCAGAGACGCCCCGCCCTCCCGTACCGTTCCGGGTGGACTGCAGCACCTCGCTCAGCAGCCCTTCCAGGGCTGCCCGGTACTTTTCCAGCTGCCTGGAGTTCATCCTCATTCCAATTTCCACAGGAGCAGTCAGCTGTGAAATAAGGCAGCGTTAACAAGAAGGGAGTGCTGTGGAGAGGCCGTTAACCCCTGGGTGCCCTACAGGTGGCAGGAGGGACCCACAGGAGCCTCACCACTCTGCTGACCCCATTCTTCCCTGTCCTCTGGGCCTCTGTCAGGCCTGCTGGGAATCCTGGCACCTTCCTCTAGTTCTAACTAGATGGCTGGATCCTAGAAGACATCAATATACCTTCCTTCATGGGGAGGCTGGGACAGGAGGGTGGGTCAGCAGGAACCCCATCTGGCTTTTCACATGGGGAGAACTCACTTTCCCACCCCCAGTAATAATAGCTAACATCGTGGAACCTCCCAAGGGCCAGGTGGAGTCTACTGTGTTTCATTCTAAGTGCCTTATGTCTATTAAGCCTCTCAATAGCCCTGCTAGGTAGGGCCTGCTTGTGTTTCCATTTTACAGATGAGGAAACTGAGGACAAAGAGGCTGGGTACCTTGCTCAGGGCCACACAGAGGTAAAGAGCAGAGGAAGAAGATATTCCACCCAAGAGGCTCCAGGGCTGTGCTGGTGACCACCAGGCTGCCTCCCCTCTCGCTGTCTGGAGGCTCTCAACAAAAGGGGGCAGTTGTGGCCTTGAGGCAGAGGCTAGGGCGCTGATTGGCCTCCCTATCACCCCCCTGGGCTCCCTGGTTCAGTGGTCTTGCTGCACAGACTAGCCTGCTGACTCGGAGACTCCTTGCCTCTACTGAGTGGCCATGGAGGAGTCCTGGCGCCTGCGCCCCCAACCCCCTGCCTCCCACCGGCTTGCCTGGGAGTGGGAAATGGGCTGGAGGTCCCTGGGGTGTCTGAGCAGCCCAGGTCTGGGTCCTGCCTGGCCTCAGTGACCTCAATTTAAAATGAGGAGACTGACTTCGCAGAAACTTAGAGTCTATGATACTGAATGATCTATCACAGAAACAGAACTGAATACCACATGCTCTCACTTATAAGCGGATCTTGAACAATTATCATAATACTATAGGAAAGGGATTGGCAGTAGTGGGAAACTGCCAGGGGAAGGGTGTTGGGATTGGCATTTGAGGTACCTGCATAATGAACATTTGTATACCTAACCCTGAATTGTACCCCATATCTTTAAAATTAAAAAAAAATAAGGCTGCACTGCGTAGTCTAGAAAGGACCCCTACGGGCCTGTATACCCTGGTTCTAGGAGGTGAAAGGGGTAAGAGGCACTGCACTCCATGCCTTTCTAAGAAGGCCACGGGGGTTTTGTGTCATGTCCCACGGAGACCTTGCAGTCAGTCCTCAAACTGCCTCAGGTACATTTGGGGCTCCTGAGCCAGCTTCCCTTGCCAGCTGCGGGACTCACACCCAGCTCACTCTCCCTGAGTCCAAGGAGGTCAGAGTGCAGGTGGGAAGGAAGTGAGCCCACCTCACTGAGTGGGGTGACAGCACCGAGGTTGCGGTCTGGGCCATGTGCCTGACAGTGCTGGAAAGATCACTGGCCTGAGTGTCCAGAGGGAAGCAGAAGGCAGGAGTCCAGCTCGGTTCTGCCCTGACTCCCGGTTCTGCCCTGACTCCTGTGTGGCCATGGCAAGGCGCTTGCTCTCTCTGGACGTCAGTTGCCTCATCCCTCTGGCCCCCTTATGTGAAATGCCCCACACTCAGGCTTGGGGCCTCTCCCTTTCCGTGAGAGAGCTCACCCAGTCTTGGCCTGAAATTCTATCAAACTGCTGGTGACACTCATGTTCGTGCTGCCAGCCCTAACCTCTCTGCTGAACTCCAGACTTGTATGTCAGTGCAGTGTCTCTACTAGATGCCCAAGAGCATCTGATGGTTCACTGGTCCAGTCTGACCTCCTGATTTTCTTCCCACCAGCCTGTAGCCAACCACAGACTTCAGTCTCAGTTAGTGACAAATCCGTACTTCCAGCCAAAAACCTTGAAGTCAGTTTTTACTTTATCTTTTTTTATTTTTTGAGTTGGAGTCTCACTCCATCGCCCAGACTAGAGTGCTTTGGTATGCTCATGGCCACCCCAGCGTCGACCTGCTGGGCTCCAGCGATCCTTCCGCCTCAGCCTCCCAAGTAGCTGGAACTACAGGCATGCGCTACCACGCCTGGCTAGTTTTTTGATTTACTGTAGAGACGAGGTCTTGCCATGTTGCCCAGGCTGGTCTCAAACCTCGGGCTCAGGCAATCCTATCACCTCGGTCTCCCAAGGTGCTGGGATTATAGGCTTAAGCCACCACACCCAGGCTTTACTTTATCTTTATATGCTATATTCATTCTTTTGGAAAATTCTGTGGTTTCTATCTCCAAAATATTCCCCAAGTCCATTTCTGCCCTGCCTCCACCATGACCACCCCAAGCTGAGCCTCTCCCTCTGTGTTTCTCGTATACTACAGCAGCCTTCTCAGTGGTCTCCCTAATTCTGCTTTTGTCCCTTTATTCTGTTCTCAGTACGGCAGCTGGGGAGACCCATGTAAAATATAAATCAGATCATGTCTCTCCTCTACTCAAAAACCCTTGTTCCCACCTCAGCAGAGTGAATGAAAAATACAAACAATGGCCTTTGAAGTCCAGTCTGGCCTGTCTCCCTGTCCCAGCCTCCTCACTATTCCTGGACACAACAGGCCCTTAGGGCCTTTGCACTAGATGTTCCTTCTACCTGAAATGCTCTTCCCTCAGACACCCTTATGGTTCACTGCCTTGCTCTCTTTGAGTCTTTGCACTAATACTATCTACTCTCGAAGCCAGCTCTGTCACCCTATTTATTTTTTGAGTTGGGATCTCACTCTGTTGCCCAGGCTGAAGTTCAGTGGCATGATCACGGCTCACTGCAGCCTCTACCTCCTGGACCCAGGTGATCTTCTTGCCTCAGCCTCCCGAGTAGCTGGGACTACAGGTGCATGACACCATACCCAACTACTTTTTGATTTTTTGTAGAGACAAGTTCTCGCTATGTTGCCTAGGCTGGTCTCGAGCTCCTGGGCTCAAGAGATCCTCCCGCCTGAACTCCCAAAGTGCTGGAGTTACGGATAGGAGCCACCGCACCCAGTCTGTCACCCTATTTAAACCCCCAACTTCCCCAGCTCCTTGCCCTACTTTTACTTTGATAAAAAGGTAGTACCTGTCACTAGCTGTCACACTGCAGAGTTTGCTTACTGTTGTTGCCTTGTCTGTGGTCTGTTTTGGTTCTTGAAGGATGGTGTTTCTGTTTCCCCTCTGGAGTATGAACTCCAGGGGGACAGGGCTGTGTCTCTTTGGTCCACTACTCTGTCCCCAGTGCCTTGCACATAGTAGGGGTTCATTCATTCATCACCCAAATCTGTGAGATAAAAGAACTAGATGGCACATGCTCAAGACTCTTCAGTTAGGACTATCCATGCACGAGGCCCGCCCTGCTCCTGAATTCCTGTCTAGGAGGGGAGGAACCACGTGTCTGTCACCTCTTTCCCTGGGGGAATGCAGCTCCTCCTACTTTCTCCCTGGTCTCCAGCCTCCACTTGTGCTACCCCTATCAGTGGAATCAGGTAATGTCCCTGCTTCAAACCCCCCTGTGGCACACCTGGGCCTGCTGACCTCGCCCTCTCTCTGCCCGCCTGCCTGAGTGCCTGAGACCCATCCGGCTCTTAGCAGGGCCTTGCACTTCCTATTGCTTCTTCTGGGAGGCTTTCACCTCCGCTCTTTGCTCCTTCGCTTCATTCAAGATTCCAATCAAATGTCATCTCCTCCGGGAATTCTTCCCTGACTTCTCCCAGGGACAAAGGAGTTCCCCCAACCCCACTCAGTTACTATCCCACTTCCTTAACTGGTGCCTAAAATGACTCTGTCTCTCCCTATTGGGATGGAGCTCTGGCCTGGATGTCTTATTCCTTGCAGTGTCCTAGGACATTCCATGACTGAGGGTGGCTCATGGGCCCCCCGCCTCTTGGTTAGGCTTGGGGAGCCATGGTCTCATTGTCTGCTCACCTGAATCATTTTGTTCTCTTCTTCCTCAGTGGGCTCTGCGGGGTTTACAGGACCTGCCTCCTCAGACCTCTGCCACATACTCAGGGATTTCTTTTGCCCTTTATTCCATTCCCTTTCCTAGCAGCAGAGAAGAACATTGTATCAAACCTCCCTCCCTCAGCCTGCCCAGATGACCCCCTGCCTGTCTCCGTTCACCCTGGGTGCTGACTGTCCGGAGCTCCCCACAGACAAAAAGAACCCCTTCTCCCCAGGAGACGCCCAGGGGCTTAAGAACGACCCTTGGGGCTGCCCACCAACAGGTCAACTTGATGAGGAACCTACTCCTTTGTACTTAAAACACTGCACCCAGATTGTTACTGTTAATTAACTTAAAAAGCTGAAAATAATGGCCGCCCTTCATGCATATTAAGCGTGAAAGTGTGTCTCCCTTAGTAGAGAGCCTATAAAAAAGGTAGCAAGACAGCCTAGCCTAGGAGGCCGCTGTGGTGTGGCCCAGGAACTCGGAGTCCCTGGTAGGTGATTTATAAGATTCGAGACAGGGAGATGAATTATGGAGGAAGGAGATTGCAGCTTCTTCATAAAAATCCCGGCGCCCAGCAATTACGAGGAGAAAAACCACGGAACAGATGAATGCAAAGTAGCCTTTGGCTGCCATTTTGCTAGTTTATGTTCTACCGAATTGCTTCTGTCCAGCCCCAAATCTTGCCTGCCATACTGCTCGCCAGGTCCCTAGGCACTGAGATCAGACACACCCCATTCTCTTGGTTTTTCTAACGTCACTCTGGGGCTTTCTCCGTGCCCTGAGACTTGGGGATTCTAGAATAACTGGTCGTTGCCCGGGAGGGTAAGCTGGCGTGCAGGAAGGCGGATCTGCTGTAGTACCTCCCCAGTTCCCACATCTGCTCGAAGAAGGGGCTCTGGATTCAGACCTGCCTCTGCTCAGAGCCCTGTCCACCTGTGAGAGATGTGGATACCTCCCCTGCTGACAGGCTTTGCTACAGAGCCATGAACCCTCCCCCAAGCCTGAGACTTGACTAGTGTATTTGTCCCTGCTAGAACCTCAGTCTCCAACAGGTGGGACAAGGAGAGACATGACAGCCCCATTTCTTATTCTCCTTGGGTTAAAGGGAACCAAACATCCGTGCAGGCACTCAAAATTCCCTGAAGTCTAAAGTAAAAGGGACCAGGGAGGCAGGGCCAGCAATCCAATTTCTCTTAGGCCCTTGATGCCTGAGTTCCATTAGGCCCATCTTGCTTTCTTCTGGGCTCTAAAGAGGAGGAGGCTTTTAAAGAGGAGGAGGGACTGGCTTCCTGGGGCACTTTGTCCTGATCTCTTGAGGCCCTGCTGAGTCTCACCTCTTCCCTGCAGGCTTCCAAACAAGCTTCCGGTTGACCATTCCTCCCGCCTCTGAACCTGAGCCCTTAGCATCAGCATCACTTATGGAGCAATTCATCACGTCCTGCCTGTGACATCTCCCTTTTGTCTTTGACTGTTAGTTAATTTTTCATGTGTTTGTGTCTTGGCACCCTGGCCTGCTCCCTGAAGGCACTGAGATCTCCTTGCATGCCCTGGCCCATTACCCGGGGTGGCCTCTTGTACTGCAGAGAGGCTCAGTAAATATTTATTGACCTGTTAATTTAAAACTTCCTCTGAAAGATGAGCAGGGGTGGGAAGGATGTTGCTCACGTGAGCCGCTGACATCTCTGAGTGATGCCAGTGACCAGAGACAGCTGGGGCTTGGGGTCATCCTGCATCCTGGTCCTTCCCGCTGTCCTCCTCCGTGTCACTTGTATTGGTCGTTAAGCATGGGTTTACCAAAGGAGCACTGTGCTTCAGAGACATGAACCCCCACCCTCAGGGCCGGCCAGGGCTGTGAGCCACCTCCGCCATGTCTGTGAGATGAGCAGTAGGGTTTTCTTACCTGCATCCTCTGGAGTTCACCGTAGGTGAAGATGGGGACAAAGGCTTCAGTCTGCAAAGCCAGCATGACGACTGCGTGCACCACCAGCAGGGCAACCACGGCCCTGCGGGACACCATCTTGTAGCTGGACAATAATAAGGCATTCTTGTCACCACATTTAGGATACAGTGACAGACTGCTTGCTGCATCAGAGGCAGGAGCCCTCAGCTCTGGTCCATGCCCCACCTATAGCTGTGTGATCTTGGGGAGAAGTTTAGCCTCTTTGGCCTTGGGGCTGGCTTGGTATCAGGACTTTACCAGATGAGCTCTGAGTCCCCTCTCTGCCCCAGAGCTGTGACAACTAACCAAGGCCACCCAGCCCCCTGCCACATACCAGAGAAGAACCATTCCACCTGTCAGCCCCTTTCTGTGCTACAGGTGAGGTCTTCTGGAACCAGTTAGGCTCATAAAGCAAGAAGGATTCCATTTCTCAGAGAAAGGGCTCCTACATTAGCAATAGGACTGCGACCCCAAGACCCAGGGAGACCTCCGGCTTCATGTGCCAATTAGAATGATGAAAGGTCCAGATGACCAGGACCCTATCTGGGAGCACCAGCCCAAGACCCCAAGTCTGTAGAGGAAAAAACCAAGACCTTCTGCTTACGCAGAGGAGGAGCCAGATGGCAAGATTCAACATGGGGCTTCATCCCAGAGCTGAAAGTGGAGCTCTCATTCCATGGGGCGAGCACCAGCTCTGAACAAGCCCCTCCCCAGGGCCAGCCCAGCTGCCCATTGGCCACCATCAGAAACAACAGGGAAGGGAGCCTCCTCCATGTAAGCCCACCAATACCTGGAACTCAGTGAGTGCTGACAGGGTACTGGCACGAGTGGGGTCTTTCTGAGGTTTTGTGCTCTTCCCTCCATACCCCACTTCATGTTGCCTCTGCCCATGAGAAGATGGAGGAGGGCGTCCCAGGGCCAGGCCTGTTGAATGCCACACTCCTTGGGTGCCACCACTCCTGCCCTGGGTGGACTGCTGAGTACAGGGCCAGGCCTCCAAGCGGGGAGGGGAGCCAGGGCACCACTGCAGCATGGGGGTGGGGGTGGAGGTGGCTACAGGGTGTTGGGTAAAGAGCTCCCCCAGCCCTCAGGTGGCCTGGATTCTGTGGGAAGAAGGTGGTCCTGCTCTGGGTCAGCCTCCTGGCTTGTCTACAGGTCTAAGCAGGGCTCTCCCTTCAGATAGAAACTTCGGTGCCACAGGTGTGCATCCTGCCTCTCGGCAAGACCTGTCTCCTCAGTCATCTAAAGCCACCTCTACCCAACAGGAAGTACCCTCCTCTGCCTTTTTGCTCTTCCTGTTCTCTGTCCCTACCCCGCTCTCTTCTTCTCCCCTCCCTGCTTTCGCCATTTTGTTCACATTCCATGAGTAAGAACGGGAGAGCTCAGGCAGCCAAAGCTTCCCCATCCAAGCTATGTGCAAATCCCAGCAGGTTAGGAGGACCACCTCCCTCTAGGGCGGCCCAGAACAGAGCCAGAGGAGCTTGAGCTGAATGGAGAACGGGTGGGGTGGGTAGGCTCCATCTTTGTTCCTTCCCTCTCATTCAGATCCTTTCCCTGCAGAGCCTCTGGGGCCCACTTCCTTCCCCCATCGGAGACAGATATGTCACATTTATGGCATCCCCTTTCCTTCACGGAGATGTTATAGATCCCTTTTCATCCTGGTGTTTGTATTTAATTCACCCCATAAGAATCAATAAAAACTTTAAATAAAAAAAGGCAAAATCCAATTGCTGCTCATTTTCTTGATCCGGCTGGCGGTTGGCGTGTCACCTACATTTATTTGTGTTCTGGTGAGCTGGGGGTGGGAGAAGGAGCTTTTCACTGTACAATGAGGTGCTGGCTTCCCTTTTCCATCATCAGGGATGGGGTGGCTGCAGCCTGCAAGTGCTCAGCTCTGCATGAGGGGATGCCCTCCACCCTCCCCTACAGATGCACCAGACTGGGCTAGTCTTGCAGCCATGTGATTTCCCTTGGGACCAGCTTTTTTCTTAATTTTCTGGAGCAAAGCCATCATGCCAAGTGGGGCCCGCTGTCCTTGCTGAACTCTGGCTTGGGTTCCTGACCTGCTGTTGAGGTGCCAGACCCACCCACAACAACCTCTGCTTTGCAGGGAGCTGTACCTACCAGCTTCCCTCCAGCTTCCATGCTTCAGCCCAGCTTCTGTCACCAATTCCCTTGGGAATCAGCTTGAGGTGCTCAGCCTGAAGGTATTAGAAGGTGGCAGAGAGATGCAGGAGTGGGTCAGCTTGCCTCAAAGAACCCTAGACTGGGCTGGCTTCAGCTTGCACCACTGTTCTGCTTTAGGGCTGACACTGACAACCTCCCCACCCACTTTCTCCAGTGACTACTTACGGCGTTAGTGTGGTCTCAGTGGGCCTGGAGAGGTCTCTTTCTGCTTGTCCTCTGGTGTCCAGCTCCTCTGACGGGCCCTTATATACCTCCCAACTCCTAGAGCTCCCCTCGGATCCTATTAACCTTTGGCCAGAACTTTGGGGGCCTTGGGTGGGGGAGCCTGAATTCTTGAAGCTCATGGAAACCACAGGCAGAGACTGTCACGCTACAGGCTTCCAGGGCCTTCCTGGAATCTCTTATGAGTAGCAATCAGGGGTAGGTGGAAACCAGTCCCCACCTAGATGACATTCTCTTGTCCGTTGAAAACTCAGCTGCCTCTCAGAGGTCAGGTTAATGAAAGCCTTTTCTTCTTTGTTCCTTAGATACATGTCGTTGGTGAGTGTCTACAGGCCAACTCTTCAGTGATCAGATTCTCTGTCAACCTGTCAGAGTGCTATATTAGAAAGATAACTTCTCTTCAGTCTCCTCCTCGAAGCCCCTCGAGAAAGCAAGTATTCAGGAGTCTGTGACAGCTTTCTATTCGGTTAAAGAAAAGACAATGACCAGGTCCAGACCCAGGGTGCCAGGACCACATGCCACCAGGGAACCAAGGAAGTGTGTACAGGTGACCATAGAAAAAGGTCTATATGTTTGTAGCCTAAGTGGGAAGCCGAACACCTCTATGAGAGATGTTTCATGGTAGTCACGTAACTCAAACAGTAAGTCTACAGAGTCAAGGATGGAAGGGGGAAGATGTGAATGCCATCTGGAGTTACAACTGTCTTGCTGCTGCTGTTGGCTGGTGCTATTTCCAGAACATGGTATTGTTCAGGGAAGGCTTGACATGCAGCCCCATGAAGTTGGTGCATTTATTTCCCCCATTTAACAGATGAGGAAATTGAGGCACAGTTAAACCGTTCATCTGTGACCACGCTGCAAGGTCTCTTCATACAAGGGTCAAGACTGGATGTGACTCGGTACAGCAGAGAGTGGAAATGGGAGCTTCTGAGGGGACAGGGCATACCCAGACATAGAATGGCACAGAGGATAGGGTATCATGGAGATCCTCTGTATGAGTTGGGAGTGGCTCAGTCAGGTCCAAGTAGGTATAGAGGAAAAGAACAAGACGCTCTGCCTGTCTGGCCCTTAGAAACCAAATAGAAAGATTTAGATTTGATGGGTGGGCATGTTGGGGTCCTCATGATTCCTTGAGGAGGAGGATGTGACGACAACATCACACGGGAAGAGCACTCGATGGCTGAGTGCCTGCACCGGAGCAGGGAGAGGATGCGTGGGGAATAGCCTGGAGTAGAATTCCTAGGCCCTGGGTGGGCAGCTGCCATTTTCCCAGGCAAACCACATAGCGCCTTCCAGAGGGGCTGCCCACACCCAGATGGGGACTGCCTCTTGCCCAGGAACCCCCGCCTCATCGGTCCTTTCATCTACTCTGACTTTTCCCCTCAGAATGAAACAAATGTTCGCAGAGCTTCAAGCCCAATACAGATAACTTCTACATTTCCTGCTTAGCAAGGCTTCATAAAAACAGCCGGCATCTTGGTGTCATCACTTCCCGCCAGCCACGTCTCCGTGTGCAGCACGGTCAGTGACCGTTCTTAGATGTACAGTGTGACTCCAAAGTCTGAGATTTATCTCAGAGGAATTAAAGCTCAAAATACCAATGTTTGTGACTGAGTTGCCATTCTTGACCTTAGTCCTCACTGGAGTATCAGTGCCTGTTTCAAGATGGACTTTGGAGACCAGGTCACCAACGTTGGTTGCTCAAGGGTTGTGACATGCAGCCCCATTCCAGCTTGCCAGGCTCAGGAATGCACTGGGTGGCTCTCTCCACCCTGCTATGGTGGGGCATGTTACACCTGCACAACATCACCTAGACCACGGCAGGCAAAATAGGGCCTGGGGACACAGCCAGCCCGCCACCTGTTTTTTACAGCCAGTAAGCTAAGAAGAGTTTTTACATTGTTTAATAATTTTAAAAAATTGTCCAGGTGCAGCGGCTTATGCCTGTAATCCTAGCATTTTGGGAGGTTGAGGTGGGAGGATCACTTGAACCCGGGAGTTTGAGACCATCCTGGATAACATAGTGAGACTTTATCTCTACAAAAAAAAAAAAAAAAATAGTAGTCCCAGCTACTCAGGAGGCTGAGGCAGAAGGATCATCTGAGCCCAGCTACTCAGGAGTTACTTTGTCTCTACCAAAAAAAAATTAGTAGTCCCAGCTTCTCAGGAGGCTGAGGCAGAAGGATCATCTGAACCCAGAAGGCCAGAGACTGTTGTGAGCTGTGATGATGCCACTATGCTACAGCCTGGATGATGGAATGAGACTCCAACTCAAAAAGAAAACAAAAATATAAGTCAAAAGAATAATATTTAGTGACACATGAATTAAATTTCCATGTCAACAAATACAGTTTTATGGGAACAGAGTGCCTCTCGTTCATTTACATGTTGCCTATGTCTGCTCTGGGGCTGCAGCAGCAAAGTTGAGTAGGTGTGATGGTGACCTTATGGCCCACAAAACTGAAGACATTTATTATTTGGACGTTTATAGAAAATGTTTGCTGGCCCCTGACCTCAACAGTGTCTGGGGCACGTGACAGATAACAGTCCACTATTACACGTGTCGACTCCTTTAAGTCTCACAAAAGCCCAGAGGTTGTTAACCAATTTTACACGTGGGAAAGCTGAGACAAAAAAACCGACCCACACAGCTATTAAAATGGCTGGGGCAGAATTCAAACTCAGAATCTGGCTTCAGAATCAAGTTTTCTTTTTTGAGTCGGGGTCTCACTCTGTCACCCAGGCTGGAGTGCAGTGGCACAATTATGGCTCACCACAGCCTTGATCTGAGGGGCTCAGGCGATCCTTTCACCTCAGTCTTCCAAGTAGCTGGAACCACAGTCACTCACCAATATGCCTGGCTAGTTTTTTTTTTTTTTTTTTTTGGGTAGAAACAAGATCTCACTATGTTGCCTAAGTTGGTCTTGAACTCCAGGATGCAAGCAGTTCTCTGGTTTTGGCCTCCCAAAGTGCTGGGATTACTGCACTTAACCACTGCACACAGCCCAGAATCAAGTTTTTAGCAACAGTTTTTTTTTTTTTTTTTTGAGTTGGAGTCTCACTCTGTCACCCAGACTGGAGTGCAGTGGCTGTTCCTGGCCACCGCAGCCTCGACCTGCTGGGCTCCGGCAATCCTTCTGCCTCAGACTTCCAAGTAGCTGGAGCTACAGGCACGCGCTACCATGCCCAGCTAATTTTTGATTTATTGTAGAGATGAGGTCTCACCAAGTTGCCCAGGCGGGTCTCAAACCCGCGGGCTCAGCAATCCACTCACCTCAGCCACCCAAAGGCGCGGGATTACAGGCTGAGCGACCGAGCCCAGCAGCAACAGTTTTTAACTGTACTTTTCTGCCTCTCATTATTTGGCAAGTGACCATAGGGATGTCTATATCTGGGAAAGATATGCACCAGTGACCTGGTATAGATTCTATACTCTCTCCTTAAGCCGTTCCCCACAAGGTATCTGAGCATGATATAGTATGAGCTAACTAACCGGGACAAGTGCAGATTGTGCTCACATGTTCTTAGGTTTAAAGAAGTCAGACCTGGACTGGGAGGGTTGCAGATGGTGGACCAGGCCTGTCCACTGAGTACCAGAAGACACTGGAGGCCACCAGCCCCCAGGCCCTCTGCACTAGGGCTCTGAGACCCATGCCTCTGCAGGGCCAGTCAGGGCTCTGGTCCAGAGGCACCTCCAAGACACTTTATATGAGAAATGACTAGGCGCCTCCAAACCCGAGATGGGCCTGTAGTGAGGGATGCGGAGAAAGGAAGTGCTGGAAACAGTAAATAACCCAGGATCAATTTTGGGGGTGTGAGTAGCACTCTCCTGGATCTCTCCCATGATTTCAGTGTTTCTGAGCCAAGTAAGTTGCAGTATTGCAGTAAGATATCTGCAGTTTGATGTGGAAGGAAGGCAAGCATGGGTTTGCTACTCCTGGTAAGGCAAGAGGGGAAAGTAGACTAATGGGAGGTGGGGGGAATCCAGGTCTGCTATGGGATCAGAAGCTGCTGGGATCTCCCTTCTTGCCCCTCTGGGCTGCAGATCTCATGGAATGGCCCGTGAGGAGCCCACTCGCCAGGAGTGTCTTCTCTCCCTCTTTGGCAGGAGCCTTGGTCCTCGACGGGCATTTTCCACTGTTCTGGTTCATGCTTTAGAAATGGAGGGCTGGGTGAATGCCAAGCCTAACACTGACTGCTTTGTCTTAAACATGCACATCGACTCTCCCCGCAAATGCTCAATTAGTGGCTGATTCTCTCCCGCTAGAACCTGGACAAAAATAAAAGGAAGGCATAATCTGATGTTCTTCACTTTCCAAGTGGAGCTGTCACGGATGTGCAGCTGCTGTGGCAGGGGAGGCGTGAAAGCTTCACCCAAGCCTGGGAAAGGAAGTTCACAGGACTCAGAGGAAGTGGCTCGCACCACATGTGGGCACTTGACTGCCTCTTCCCCCCAGATAGGGCAGAGGGATTAGCACTTTAGCTCTCCTCGCGACCTTGAAAATATTGTTTGCTGGGTCCTGCCGTAACATCTCCCTTAATGGCCTGGAACAGGGAGACAGCAGCATGTTAATTAAATTTGCAGATGATACTAAATTGGGAGATGTGGCAAACATCAGGGAGGACAGAGACCTAATATAAGAAGACGTTGGGAGGTTGGAACTACGTGCTGGAAACAGCCAGGTGAGCTGTTAGACGTATGTCACCAAGGCCCCGAGGACACAGGATGGAGGATGTGGGTGTGAGGGAGGGGCCCCTGAGAAGGAGAGCTGGACCTGGGGACCCTGGAGGGAGGGGCAGCTCAACCACCACCCTGTTTCCCAGATGGCTCCCTCAAAGAGCCTGGGTTCAGTGGCTCAAGGAAGGCAGAGTTCAGATGAGCTGAAATAGCCCAGGAGTTGCTGGGAGTGCCAAAGTCGAAGGAACAAAAATGAAAAACGAGAGATTTCAAAAGGTTGGCTTGCC